AGTTCGTACATACTTCAAAAGCGGAAAGATCAATTTCAGATTACGGCTCCCACTCTCCATAGCCCTCAGTTTTTTGTTTTCATTTTACCTCGCGAACTTTGTAATATACAAACTGATTAAAGCTTTAGATTTTGTATAATAATAGTAACAAGCCGTCAATGTAATTAAGTGTAAATATAGAGAAAAAAGAATAATAAATCGAAATTATTATTATTGACATTGGGGAAAATAATGGAAAAAAAATGTACCTGAATGTGCTATAACAATAAAAAATAAATGGTGAATCTGTCATTTCTCATGTACGCTATTAAAAAGTTTTTCCGTTAACCTGCTTTTGGAAAAATCGAATGAACTTGTGTGTTTGCATGAAATTGTTTACAATTGTTTAAATCTAGGCTGTTTAAGCGCTTTCGTTGTAGTAACTTTGCTTTGTATTTAACGCTTGTAAAATGCTCGGCCGTGTATTGTAAGACTTTATAGGATGGTTTAAGAGATATCTGGCTACCAGTTGTTTGTATTTCTGAAATTGATAAAATTAAAAGAAAAGTTTTGCCAATTCAAGTTCACATATTGTTAATTTCAAATTCTAGAAATTCGCGAAAGTTCGAATACTGGAGTTTCCGCAGCAGATTCCGATCAAAACTTGTATCAGGAGGCGTAATGGCTAATGCTTCTTTGTGAGTGCGATGTCATGAATTATTAGTAATAAATAAAAAAAAAATTTTTTAATAAATAAATCGAAGTGCTGTACAAAAACATATTTTTGTCCAGCATAAAACGCCGCTATACGATTTGTTTACATCTACTAATCGAAAGAATATGTTTTAGTAAAACTACGTTTGATATTTAAATTCAATCAGTTGAAAATTGGAGACGTTAGAAGTGTAGATTCTCGAAACTGTAATTTACGGAACATTGTGAGCAATGGCTTAAAAATGCCGGTTTTAAGTACTTTTGCGGCTTAATTGCGTTCATTTGAAAAATCGCCTTTTCGCCATAAAATATGCAACTTTCCTATGCAAATATGGCATCTTTCATACACCATTTCTATAATTAGTTAGGGAAGAAGCCTACTATAAATATCTTCTTTGCTTTGGAACTTCTAGGATATAAGAAAAAAATTCATTATCTGAAACAAACATTTTGCTTTTGCTCAAGCACTCCAAAGAGACTTTCCTTTGGTCAAATGAATGAACATTTTGAAGACCTAAGCCTAAATTTTGCATCTGGAATTAATCTTCCATATACTAATAAATTCATGTTACAAGCTATGCGTTCTTTTGAAGCAACATCTCTTTCCAAAACGACGAGATTATGGCGTTATTGCAAACATATCACTATGTCATGGAATATATTGGTGTACATACTATTTTGCGAAAATATAACCTGTAGTCGCACTTTGTTATCCAAAAGTGCAAGGTTTCTTTCAGAACAATTTTTCACATAGATTATGTTGTGTATTCGACCTTTTCTTATTGGAAGGTATTTTACGTTATAAAAACATTTCCTTGTTTTCCCAAAATTAATACCTTAATACTTTCAACACTGAATAAATATAAATCAGCTTTGCTGGTGTATCAATCGGATATTTAGTAATATTCGACTCTCACTAACATTGTAAATATCGTTACGAATGAGATCACGTAGTAGCCCACCAAATCGACTATATATTTCCCTTATTTAAAAGACGAGTTTAACCAATAAACTTTTTTCCCTATTTCTGTTTGCAGACATTAAAGCGAAATATATGTATATATATAACATCTTTTTTAATATAGTTTTTTTATATAGTTATTTTACATATGCATATACATATGCATATGTGTAAATAGATATAAATCCTATCATTCATTGCACTGTTAAATTTATTGCTTAAGAATTTTATAAATAAATCATAAGATATCATCAAAGCCTTACAAAACCATTTGATTCCACAAGTAAAGTAATCAAATGTTTATGCTGGAAAAACAATACACAATAGATGTAGCGCTTGTTTATATCCTATCAAGTTGTTCTTACCATTTGATTTCATCACTGTATATAATATTTTTGTGTCTACCGTATGACAAACACAATAAAGTATTCATCTACGTTTGTATTCACCAATACACACGTACTTATGCGGATTCACTAGATTACCATTGGGGAATTCGTTTTTGTGCTTAGAGTATATTTTGCTGTGATTTTTTTACTTATTTTTTTTGTTTTTTTATATGTTTATATGTTCATCTCTCTAAGCCTTGTGTGATTTCTTCTCTGCCAAATGTGTTAATGTTAACACATTCTATGCATTGTCAGAGATTTGTTTTTTCGTCACACATTGCTGCTCGGTAAAACAAATTGTTTTAGATTTGACAACTTGATGACAGTCAAACGTAGTTTTATTTGTGTCGTAGAGTTGAGAAAATAAAGAAAGAAGGGAAAAGCAGAAAACAAAGAAAAACTAAAAGATCGAAATAAAAAAAAAAAAAAAAAATATATAGTATTTTGAAGAAGCTGGGTTTTGAAATTTTTTTGAATAATTTAAAGAAGGGTAAAGTTAGATCAGGGTTAAACTGTTGGAAGTTCAAATCTGATCTTTATGCATAAAGAGTTTCTCGCTATTCATACACTCGCGATTTTGTGACAACTATTGTTTTGATCTTTCAATTATATTTGATGTAGATGTTCCTTCCATACGAAAATATGATGTACCCTCTCATCCGTATGTATACATATGTATTTATAATTATGTATAACAAGGACTTAATCGGGGAGGGTGCATGGGTGCAGGATCGACAAGTGATAAACTCAATTATGTTGAGAACCGAAAAGCGCAATTATTGCATTTTCCGTTTAAAATAAGAAGCATTTACACCGAGTTTATTTTATTGAGTCGACTCTTCCACCACACAAATAAGATTAATAAGTCTTTTGAATCCAATAAACGTCAGCGAGGCACAGAGCTATTTGGGGTCGTACGTATAAATAATCTTGTGAATATTCACTGAAAATTGAGATATACGATCATACGTCCTATTTAAAAGCTTATGTGTTGTACGGGTATTTATGCTCGACTGTAATTAATTTTTTTCAAGCATAATCAAGGTTATCATAGTACCCCAAAACATAAAAGCCATTCACTTAATTTCACTATTTTGGATGTGTAGAAAAAGAATAGTAACCGATTTCTTAAAATGTCACTATTGCATAATTGACATGATCACAAGGTTTTAATCTAAAAGTAAATTTGAAGCTAAGATTTGAAATAATATTGACAAATACAAAGTATTAGCCATTTCTAAGCAAGGAAAGTGCGCTGTGATATTGCGTCATTTAGTTGTAGGACAATGCGCTTATAAAGCCTCATTGATCACGACAAATGTGTACTCTAACGAATTTTTACACTGCAACAAGAATTTGCCTGGTTGGACCCCCTATGACGTTCTATGCATATAGTCGTCTCTGAATTCTTGCAATTTTCGAAGTATTTCTTGCACTGCTTCTTGAGCTGAACTGAGCAACTTCGACACTTCACACGAACCTTTTAAACAGTGTTAGAGTCTATTGAATAATTTCTTTCACATAGCTGATAAAAGTTGAACCGTGGTTAAATGTTGTTTCTTTATAAAAAATTGTAAACAAAATTGTAAATTGTACTGCTTATACACTATCATGAACAACTTACAAAACGTTACTTGAAACTTGATGCGCGTTGTCTGTTGCCTTACAGGATTTAATGGACGATTTTTGACAATTTTTTTTTAAAAAAATATTTTAAAGATACCTACGCGCATCATCGAATGCCTGAAAATATTTAAAGATCTCTTTCTTCTTTGTGTTAGAAAGGAAAACAGAACATGTAGGAATTCAGCCGAAAGGTGCTACAGAATTAATATGTATACATAGTTTTTGCGAGAGCATTTGCACCACCATCTATCTTATTGCTAAGAAATAATTTTTAAAAAACATTTTAAAAAAAATATTGCAAAAATTTTGTTGTTATGAATTTACTAGTGCTCCTGTGCACAAGGTCTTATTAGTAAAATGATTATCTCTTAAGGAGCATTTGAGCCCAAAATTTTCAAGTTTGTTTATGAAAGCATTTTACACATGTTTGCACATACATTTAGTTACTTAAAATTTTTTTCGTTGCAATTTTTTGCAAATAGAATTTTTGGTGCAGTAATTTATGCAAGCCATATTTTTTAGACATCATTAGCGATATTGCCGCACATTGCATAACCATAATATATATATAGAAAAACACAAAGAAATGATCCATACAGATTTTAATGTTGTTCGAAATGGGGGGGAAATTTGTAGTATTCTTTAGTTTGACCGAGTTTGAATTTTTTATTGTTCGCAAAAAATCCCTCAAATATCGGTTGTCAATTCGAATAAATATAATTGTTCAAGAAATTCCTTCGAGTGTCAATAAAGATACACCATACATCATTCTTAAAACCTTTTTGAATCTTTAAGAATTAATTTAAGATTATTATTAGCTTAGAAGGCGAATGTACAAATTCTTATTTATTTATTACGATAAATAATAAATTTAACTACAGCGCATGTACTTCAAATTTAACCTTTTAATTTTCATTCTTAGACGTACGCTAACGACGATAGCTTGGCTTAATCGTTCCAAATTCTTACGTCGACAAACAGCGTGCTCAAGACGTGTTACATATGATATCGTTTGATGTACGCTAGCTAGGGTGGCAACAGTAATCATTTGTTGTTAATAAAAATACTTCTTTTTATTTTAAACGGATGCGTGCGTATACGAAAAATTACTTCTAAAATCACTCTTGGAAAAGTTTTCCTTATATAAAATTAGGCAGTAACGCGAATTAATTGAATTAGGTAAATGTATAAATATCCATTTTGCACAATATGCGCCATTTGGCGCTGCGTTTAAAATTTTTCAAATTTTCGTTTTGTGATAAAAAAATAGCTCACAGCAGATTTTCTTAAATTCACGTTTGTTTGTAGAATTTTTTAGTTTAGTAGTTTCCATACATTTTTATAGTAAGTTTTATAGTGAAATTTATTCGGAGTGGTGTTACAGCAAGATTATTACTCATATAATTGGATGAAAGTGTTATTTTTTATTTTTCTCAATTGCCTCAAATTTCATTGATATTTTTTACTTTATTGCGTTAGAGGGAAAGTAAGACGTGTTCAGTGTTCTCCGTTCGTTAAGTTCATACCTGCACCCTTAACTTCCGCTTCAATTTAATTTGCTTTAGGTTACTTTAAGCACATTCACATTGCTGCAGATTTCCTTGTGTCCGTAATAAATTCATTTCGAAACCGGGCTCGTACGCTGAGTATGTGATAATAGATGTGTTGGACTAAACTATCCCTATTCGCCGTCGATCCCAAGTACCTTCGGTAGAACTTGCTTCGAAAAAATTGCAACAATTATAACTCGTTCTACGTCCGTGCCCACAGGCTTTTAGGGTGAAAGTAGTTCTCAAATCCACGTTCACTCTATATCATGACAATATTGTCGTGGATATGGAAAATGTTCCTCTACAAGGTGTAAATTTCTTGCTTGCATTTGTTCTATTTGACTTGTCGCCTTTATACTTAAATAAAAGTGTAACTGTTTTTTCTGTTAGTTCTATAAATCGTTATGTAATTCGCATTAAATTTCACCACATTTGTCGGCAATAATGTTCACCCTTAAAGCGCCGACATTCTGTGTAGCATCGTGCAGCAAATTAAAGATATGAGATCGATCAATTTGTTCTTTTTCGGTTAATTCTTGTAAATCCTTAGTGGCTTGCAAATATGCTTCATAGTTATTGGAGTTTTCAAAGTCACGCTTAAAGTCTTCGTATAATAATTGTATTTCTTTTAGTATACGACTTTTAGGATCGAGGAAATTTGCGGGTACTTGCGGCAATAATAAAGCCCATTCTTCGTGCAAGGACTCCAAAAATTCAAAATTGCTGAATAAAAACGCTACTATTAAGTCCATGCCTTTATTTTTCAATATATTGAAAATATCTAAAGAATGTTGTTCGCCTTGCTCGGAATTTTGCATCGTCTGCAAATCTATCGTTAAATTATTTTGCAAATAGTCGTACAGTTGCTGATGCTTTTCATAAAAATCTGATAAGGAAAGCAATAAATTAATTTCTGTCATAAATATACCCAAAGTTTCGGAGTGCGGCTTCAACTCTGTTTCGGTATCACCGTCGATAATTTCTTGCAATAGTTTTTTTAGGATAAGCAAGTAATCATCGATAATTTCTGATCCGGTGCCTTTTACTTTTTCGTAGATTTTGTCACCAAATTCTTTCAGGTCAATGCTAATCACATGATTTTCCGTTAAATTTAATTGTTTTAATATTGTTTCAATATTTCTCTCATCGATGCGCATCAAACGAGTTGTAGGATAATAGTCGAGTCTGGCTTTTATTTCTTCTTGATTTGCTTTAAATTGCTTACATAAGTGATAGTAGCGTAGATTATGCAATTCTTCAGCCATTTCCTCTTGAAAATATAAAAGTTTTGTTTTCAATTTTTTTAAAAACCGCACGTTCCTTAAAACGTAAACGTTGTCCTGCGTTTTATCGCGATTGGTATCCAAATCCAGCCACTGCTTAATAAATAATATTTTTGTTTCTAGTCTATCAGTAATCGTAGCTTCCTTTAAAGCCTCGCTGTAAGCGTCACTTATGTTCGCTGGTGTTTTGATATTATCTAAGTAAACATTCAATTCGTGTTTAGCTGAATTATCAAAATGCAATGAAATCTCATTAAATAGAAATCGTTGAAAGCTTTTTGACTTTAATTTCACATCGTCTGCGTTGACAATAATCTGAAAATAAAATTTATATAATTACAGAATTTATATATTACAGAAATTTTAACAAATATAGGCTTTTAATTACACATTTAACGACTAGACAGGCCAAAAACGGATATAGAATATAGACTTTCATCTTTTCTGTAATAATAATAATAAATATTTCTCGTTTAGTTGCTATAATGTTTCAGAGTGAGCGACTTTATTAAAACTGATTTAGAAATATTTCTGGGTATTTTGGGTAAGAAATGAATTTTATTACATTATTAAGGTTGTAAGGTTATCACAAATCGATGACGGCTGTTTGTGAGACGTATAGCGTGGATAGGCAACCGTTACTGTTGGGAGTGAGAGCAATATTTATAGACTAGCTATTCATTTCAATATAATTTGACCTATATTTTAGTAAATCGATAAGTAGGTAAACAAAATCAACGACAGAAAACTTAATCCCTTAAAAGAAGTTTCACTCCACATAAGTACATTGCACTTTGTATTTGTTTGTGATAATAGCCGGAAAAAGTTTTTGATGTGAATTAGCCTACCCAACGAATAGTAGGATTAGTTCGGAATTCCACACAAGAACTAAGAAAACAACTAAATTAATGTTAGAATTTCCCTTCAACTGACAAATCATCAATAAACTCTATCTAATTTTTACATAAAGGCGTCGAAATATTTTCGAAGCGGCGGGCTCTAGCAGTGAATTTGACTTCTTTACAATCCCTATATTAAGGTTTCGTGTGCAATTACCGCAGTACTAAATACAAGCAATGCGAGGCAATTACAAATGTTACCAATTACATCTCATCTGAAATATTATATCTTAATTCGTACAGCCGACAAAGAGACAGATGGATAAACCTTACTCCCAGCGTTATGCGATTATATTTTGCCTAACTGTTATTTACGATTCGAATAATAGAATTTACCTACTTGCTATATCCACCATAAGTTGGAACACCTGAATTAATCACAGCTAAGTTGGAAAATTCTGTGAAAATCGTTTTCTTTATACTTTGTAATAGACTTGTTGATCCTTGCTAATGTATAGGATAATACAAGAGAATGATTACCACTTACGAACTAACTCTAGAGAGCAAAAAACAAGGGGGAAACTATTATTACACCAAATAGCAAAGCATCCCGTATTGCAATTTTTTCAATCCGGTACTATCAATAAAATTGTTAATCATTTTCCTATATACCAAGTAGTAATAATAAAAAGCAAAAGAAATTCAATTCATTTTTATCTCTTTTGTTATCTGAACTTTTTTCTAACCTTTGCTTATTTATATGTGCGGTTGGTACGTTAAATTAAATGCTCGTTGGCTTTTTGCATGCTTGAAAACACGACAACAAAGAGTCAACAATGCTTAACACAACAAAACAGGACAGAAGTGCTTTGAACACATTATTATGATTGTGTGTATTTACAGACAATTGTGTGTGCCGCACAATATGTACACATGTCTTTCATGTTGTTGGTTACGAACGAGTGATGAACAAAGTTGTTAGACACGTTTGATTATACCTATATAAACGGGATTGTCGGCGTGTGTATAGGCACGCAACTCGGTCTCCATGAGTACTTAAGGGCGTGCTTTCATTTATTGAAAAAAAAAGGAATCATTTTTTCATTGATTTTCTCATTTTGTTTTGCAACATTTGTATGCAAGAGGATTGGTACGCTGCTATTTGTTAATTTTTTATTTTTTTTCACTCGGTTTAGTTTTTTATTTCGATTCTTTTTTTTCCAATAGAGGCGACATCAATGAGTTTTTGTTCAGTATTTTTTGGGAATAGCGGCCGCACAGCGAAACAATTTTCTTCTTTTTTTTTTACATCACATAGCCTGTATAAAGTGTAAACCTCTAAAAAGTGACAAAAGTCAATTCTCGCTTAAAAATTTATTAGATTTCTTTAAGAGCGACTAACATTTTTTGTTTTTAGTCTATCCATGTATTCGGAAGTCGCTTATAGCCCAGTCTAACAACAACATACCAAATGTGAAATCGGTTATTGTTTAGAAGTAGAAGCAATGTGTCTTATTTCTGATAAGAAACTTTCTCGTCATAATTTTCAAAAATAGGTGATATCAATAACATACCTGCTCACAGACACGCAAAACTTAGCCCTAGTGTGCATAATACCCACGACATTCGCTACAGGATAGAATGCTTTTACCCAGACTACTAAAAAGTTATGTATTCTCAATTAGGAGTTTTATAATGATTGTAGAGTTATGGAAGAAATCCTGGCTTTTTTGTGCTTTAACGTCCACTGTTGTAGTATTTATTTGCTATTGCGGATGGTTTCGACGATTAACGACGAGTACACCTGCCAAGTTTCGGCTGTTTTATATAAATATTTGCGATCATAAGCAAGCAAGAAGGAAAATGGATGTGCTAGAAACTTACGGAGATCAACAATATGCATATCAGCAATATGTGTACTGTATGATAATGAAAAGCTGTCTCGACCAGTAATTGACATCCTTAACGCATAGAGCTTAGATTTATTAGTTTTACTTTTATTTCAAAAGAATCCTTATGTTTGCGACCAGTCACACTTATTATTGACAATCGACTGAACTTATAATTGAACTCTTGTGTTCGTCATCTCTTTTTTTGTTTCATAAAAATTTTGTTTTATATATAAGATTACCAAACTCACGCGCGCTGCCTTCTTGTGACATTTTGTATTAACATTCTCTAAGTTAGCTTTGTGAAAAATTTATAATACAAAATTACTCAATAAAAATCGTTAATACTTTTCACGGCTTAAGGTCCAAAAAGTATATTTATGTTACCCAGAAGTTACTATGATAAAATTATACGTACAGTCACCGTTTCCTACCAATTTTCTTCATCAAATTTTAAAAGTAAAATTTTGTTGCAAATGGTTCCACCTCGTCAAAACTTTCTGTATTGACCCATTACGCCAAAATAGTATTTTTTACGGGATTTTCGTCAAGAAATATTAGCAATTGAAATTGTTTTCATATAACGACTTCGTCAAAATAGAGAATTACTTCGGGAACGATCGTAAAAATGACCCGAACCTGCTTGCTTCCATAACTGCGGCCTATCAATTTCACACAAAAATACAGGAACCGCTATCAGACAGACATGGGAAAAACTAAATATGCACAGGTGTAGCTAATAACAATGCCTTCTTATTTACTACTAACTTTTGTTTAATAGAATTCAAAACTGTAATCTATTGAAAGCTTAATGAAAATTTCTTCATTTTAATCTAATGGTTACGATAGTGACGCGAAGACATGTGAACCTAATGCAGAAACGTTTCGTATATCTCTGTTTGGGAAATTTTGCGATTCACAAACGTAGGTTGTAGCTTGTTCCCTGATACTAGTAACAATGTTTCTTCGCGTTTATGGGATATCAGATAAAGCCCATCGCCGAGATAAAAAAGATTTCAATTTGTTAAGTCATCAACATCTTTAAAGTGGGAGAAAATAAGCGAAAACAACATTTAAGCCTTTAATAAACGTCATTTTTACTATTGGAAGGCATATTTTCATATTTTGAATGTCGATGTAAATTCGAAATCTTTACTCCTTAGGGAAAAAGTGCACAAATCCCTTCTTGATATTCAATTCCATCTAAATCTTTTATATTTATCTGACGTTTATGTGCGTATGTGTATAAAAAATACTCTTTCTTAACTAAAATGTGACAAATCTTACCTTCTTCCTTGTATTTTATTGCTCTAAACTTAATTTCCTCAAGTATGTGCTTGTGCCAAATTTTACACCCAATTAAATACTTATCTCCTCTTCTTCTTAAATACTTATCTCCTCTATCGTCCACGTGATCGTCACGAGACATACCATTTATACACCTTATAAAACTTTCTTCGAAGTGGTCATTTAATATGTGCCAATATTCACTTCATCTACGAAAGAGAGAAAATCACTGACCGAGACAGACACCTTGGTTAGAACATTCAGGACGAAGAGAGAGAGGAGGATTTGATTTCCTTTTTTCTGACTATTGTGTTGAATTGTTACCATTTTCACTTATATTCTACAACGTCTCACTGACTATGGCACGTATATATATATATATTTATATATATACATGTGTGTTGTGGACAAAGTTATTTTAACAGTTTTCAAGTCATTTTATTGTTCACAAAACATTTAAGAGTTTTCTCTTTTGATTCTTACATCTTGCACACATACGTTCGCCTGGATTCAATAAAAAGTTTTCTTAATAGCTATTGTATTTTGTTGTATAAGTGTATATGTATGCGATATATGCCTTAGGAGTACTGTTAGCAAATGAATGACAAAAGTTTTGCAACGCCTTATAATAAGTATATGAAAGAATGAGGAGAATTTAAGAGTTTATTTTCTTTAAAAAAAGTATTTTTGCTTAAAGAATTTTAAATGAGAGATGATTTATAATTTTTGAATAATTTTAAAAGGAAAGAGAAATGAAAGGAGAAGAAGTGAAGTGAAGCTACACATTTTAGCAGGACTTTCAAGCAATTGGTTGGTATAACCAATGGTTTGGAATGTTTTTAATCATTTCTTATACACCAAAACTTTCTTCTAAATATTCAGGTCAATACAATGAACTATCGTCGGTAGAGTGTCAAACGAGCCTGCGATACAGATAAACATACTTTGCCAATGCACTAATACTTATATTACTTAAAATTAAAATCTACTGATGTCAAATTAATTTCTTTTTTCCAGCAAATCTGAAATTACCTGTAAAATTCGCAAAAGTTCATTCAGCGAAAAATCTCCCATTGCTTACTAAAGCATTTCACTATTAGGCTGCATTTTAAATCTTTATTATGTCATAAAATTCTTGTACTAAAAGCATGTAGTAGCGTATGTGCATTGATTTCGAAGTTCAAAATTACTATAAGCAAGCAGTAAGTTCATGACTGAACGGAATTTTGAGATGAGCTTCTGGTTTTTGCGAAATTTATATTGTTATTTGAGATCAGTGAGCAACACAGTAACATCGCATTTCTACCGCAATAATCGAATTGTTGAGAATTGAATTTAGTTCTAATGTTGTTTGACGAAATCGTCCAGTGAAGAAGATGGGAAGTTGATATTTTTTAACGTGCCTGTATCATTTTTTTGGGGGTATGTAAAGTGCACAATATCAGCACTTTGCTGACATATAACGA